AACGGAGGGAGTATTATTTAAGCCCACTTTTAGACACTACGTGTTGGAAAGAAAGAAAGGGTTACTTATAACTGAATCCTCATATTTGACATTGAAACCTATATCAACTCACATCCAACAGAACAAACTGCATTATTCGACAATAAAATCAAATCATGTAGTGAACAACCAAAAGATGAGGCTCTCTGCTCTTAATTGTTAATTTTCTACCGTTGTTTCGTAGTATCTTATGCTCCTTCCATCCCATTAGTTTCTTTACACACAAGTTATGATGCTTGACTTATGTTATTTTCAAATCATTTTAATTAAAAATTTGTGCAAAGTTGAAAAATAAAATTTACATATTTAAAACTGCATGAAGACCTACAAAACAAGAGGTGACATCATGGTTGTTAACATCAGGATCCAGATTGTAACATCATACGTTTGTATGATTACTGTTCGCGCTATCGACCCGGATTGCTGATCGAATTAAAATTTGCTAGCATCAGTGGGGTCATCAAGGATCACAATAAGGTTGAAAAAATGAGAAAGAGCTGTGCCTGATCCGTCTCATTCGGCTTTCGATTCTTCAAAGGGTAATAACCATATTTTTTTCTCAATGCTTCCTTCTATATCTTCACAATCTCTTCATTCCTCCCTCTCCGAATTCCGATTTGCACCTCCCCTCCCGTCTGACCGTCTTAATTTTCCCCTTTGCCCAAAATTTATTCCCTCTACGACCAGCTTCTTCTTTTCCCTTTTCTATGATCTATAATGGCAGCTACAAGACCTCTTTTTCCATTTGCAGATTCTTGAGTTTTAAGTTTTGGAGTGACCGAACTAAAAAACATCAATCTTATTATTGTGCTCCATGTCTTGCAAGGTTGTTTTGAGTTTTTCAAGTTGTTTTTATTTGGAGGATATGATGTTATGACTATTTCTAATCATTTGGATGTTATGATTATGATGTATGGCCTTTTATTTTTTAATTGCATACGTGTTATAAATTTTAACTTTTATTACTATTCTAGGATCTTATGATTCAAGTTATGATGATCCGCTAACCACCCCC